CTTTTCTTTTTATTTATATATGATATTGTAAGTATTGATGATAAATTACAAGATGATGATAATATCTGTAAAATATTTAACATATTATTTATTTTTATTATATAGAATATAATCTTGTTATTGGTAAGAAACGATTATTAATTTAATGAACGAATCAAAACATGAGTGACAGATAGATATTATTAATAATCGCAATTATAAAAATATGATATGAATTGATATAGTTAAATCATAAAATAAATGAAAAGAAAAGAACCACATAAACATGTGCTCAGACAGTTCTGGAGCCAGAAAGCAAAAGAGATATCGGAAAAGTTATGGCTACCAGATAAACATGATTTGAAAAAATCGAATCTAAATTCTCATTCTTGGTTCAATATCAAGAAGTTAGAACAAGTATTTCTAAAGAACGTAGAAGTTCCGATAATATCAAGACAACAACAAAATATTATCGATTCAGAAGATGATAGGTTGAAATGCAGAAAAATTCGCATATACCCAAACAAAAAGGAAAAACAGACATTGAAAAAGTGGATCGGTGATGCAAGATGGACGTACAATCAATGTTTGGATTCATTAAATGATATCAGAGATATGAAGACTAAAAAGGAAAAGATCCAATATATGCGACAGAAACACATTGTCGCGAGTAACTACAAAGACACAGAATTAGCATAGGTGTTAGAAACACCAAAAGCGATAAGGGATGCAGCGATGATGGATCTTTTCAAGAATATTAAATCTAATCATATATTGAAAAGAGCAAGATTCATTTTGAAAAAACGTAGAAAGAAAGATGTAAATCAATCAATAACCATACAAGTTGAGAATATCAGGTGTAAGACTGGGATGTATAGTTTTGTAAAAAAGATAAAGACGAAAGAAAAAATACCAGAGATAAAACATGCTCTTAATATAGTCATGAACAGATTGAAACATTTCTATATCTGTATCTCTATCGATATCGAGAAGCATGAAATTGTGAATGAAGATATCATATCTCTTGATCCAGGAGTTAGAACATTTATGACAGGATATGATCCAAAAGGAAATATCTTGGAATTCGGAAACAAGGACATTGACAAGATACAGGAAAAATGTCAGAGATATGACAAATTACAGAGTTGTATGAGTAAATATGATAAAAAGAAAGATAAATGGAAGATATTTAGAATAAAGAGATCCATGCATCGAATATGTTTCAAGATCAAGAACTTGATAAAAGACTCTCATCACAAGATTGTGAGATATATTTGTCAGAATTACCAGACTGTGTTGTTGCCAAAATTCGAAACCCAAGATATGGCATGTAACACAAACAATAGTCGCAAGATATCTGGTAGGATTGCCAAGAGTATGCTGACATGGAGTCATTACAAGTTCAAAATGTTTTTAAGGCATAAAGTCAGAGAATATCCAGACATGAACATGATCGAATATACAGAGGAATACACTAGTAAGACATGTACGAGATGTGGGATCATTAATGAGAAGTTGGGAGGGTCAAAAAATTTTAATTGCGGTTCATGTGGTCTTAAGATAGATAGGGATCATAACGGTGCTCGAAACATATTAGTCAGATATCTGTCATTCATGTTTTGATTTTGTTTTATTTGGGGAGCTACAACCTCATCAGGTTTTGAAGTATCTGTAGATGATTAATATTGTTTATAAATACTTTAATTTTTTGTAGCAGAAAGAATTACTTTATTTTTGGATAATATAACAAAGATAATTAAAAATAAATCTGATAAAGAAAATAAAGATATGAATGATGACGATTATCTTTCAGAAGGTGTGATGAATTTAATTTATTAATAATATTCTTTTTATATTTGTAATTAATTTAAATTAATTTTATTTAGAGGATAGTAGTTTTGATTAATAATATTAAAAAAGAATATAATAATAAATAGATAAAGTTTTTTTTTATTTGTGATAAAATGTCTGTTCCTAAATTTGAATCTATTAAAGATATTTTATTAGATGAACAAAAATGTATAAAATTTTTATTTGATAATGAAATTCTGTATAAACCAGAAAAATGTTCAGAATGTAATGTTAAATTATCTCTTGATAAGAAGGGTAAACGTTTTAGGTGTTATAAATATCGAAAATCTATATCTATTTTTAAAGATTCATTTTTTGCAAATGCTCATCTTACCTGTGATAAAATTATGATGATCGCTTATTATTGGTTATGTAAATGTTCGAGTAAAACGATATTAAAAATGACTGGATTTTCATCCAGTACTGTCAGTGATTATCTCGGATTTTTAAGAGATTTGGTAAATGATACCTTAAAAGATCAACCAACAAAAATAGGAGGAAAAGGAATAATAGTACAAATTGACGAATCAAAATTCGCGAGAAGAAAATATCACAGAGGTAGAAAAGTTGATGGTGTTTGGGTGATTGGCGGAATCGAAAAAACAAAGGAGAAAAGAGTATTTTTAAAGATTGTGGAGAAACGAGATAAAGAAACTATTAAAAAGATAATAGAAGATCATGTGGAAAAAGGTTCTATCGTACATACCGATTGCTGGGGAGGATATTTGGGTATCGAAGATTTAGGTGTCGCACATGAAACTGTGAATCATTCGAAAAATTTTACTGATCCAGAAACTGGTGTAAATACAAATATGATAGAAGGTTTGTGGAACGGTATTAAATTACAGATTGCACCGCGTAACAGAAACAAGAATTTAATCAATGATCATTTGTTAGAATATATTTGGCGCAGGATAAACAAAGATAAACTTTGGGAAGCGTTTATTTACGCATTACGTTCCACTGCTTATTATGACAATAAATAATTTGTATATCAATTTAATTTTATCACAAAATGTGATTATTCGATGTATCACTACCCGGTCTTCTAAACTTCACCCGAATAATTTACCAGAATATAAATAATTTTATAAACTATATGTTCAATTTTATAACAAACAATGGAAAGAATTTAATATAAAAACTTATCTTTTAGCATATTTTCTTCATCCAAAATACCATAAAAAAGGTATAAAAAATGCTATATTTCATCAAATTTTATATACTGTACTAGAAATATAGAAAAAAATTAGTAAAAGTGGAGTAACAAGTACAAATACATTAGTAGCACAAATTAAAATATATGATGCAAAAGAAGAATCATATAATTTTAATTTTGTAGAAGGAGTCAAATTTTCTCAAACTTGGTAGTATAGATGTAAACTACAAAATCATTATCTGCAAAAACTTGCCTTATATTTACTAGTGATTACACCTCATAATGCAAGTTGTGAGCGAATATTTTCTGTTTTAAGTTGGATTACTCAAAAAAGAAGAAGTAGGTAATTAATTTAAATAATTTATATATATTATATATTAAATTAATATCTATATTAAGCTAATTAAAGTTGATTAATTAGTTAATATTATTCTTTCTCTTCATTAATGGTCTTCTAAAATTAAACAAATCAATTATAGTACTAGATAATCTTTACAAATCAAGTAGTTTAGATTAGCTAATATTCTATACATAATAAGTATTTGTTTAAATCCCTCTTTCTTCTCATATCTTGACCCAAAATATTGATATTAACTAATTAATCAACTTTAAATAACTTTAAATTAAAATACTTACTCTAATATCGATATAAACTTTTATTTAACTTTAATGAAACTCTAAATTTTTAATTTGATATAATTTATAATCTGACAAACAATATGTACATAATCTAATATATTTAATAATTT